AGTACACCCCCCCGACTTCGCCACAGGAAGGCATGCCACGGCGGCCGCCTGCTACGCGAATCATAATCACCGGCAGCAGCAAGCCCGACATCGAGGACGTCACCTACGACACCAGGTACCTCATCGTTCGCTCTGACATCAAAACTGTCACGATCCACAACGAGAAATACTATCCGGGCTACGACAACATGGGCTGCGCCAAGAAGAAACACGCCATCGTTGCTACGACCGACAGCCCCACCCTCGCGAACCCGCTCCACAGTCAGCCGAGTGCCAGCGATGACACTCCCGATAAGGCGGCATGCCCACGCCTTGCTTGACCGCACGGGCACATCCCGCATTCCTGATCCACCCAACTTCTCCGAGATGGCAGGCGCTCCAACCTAACTGCTCACAACCTGGCAGACAAGATGAACACCACCACCACCATGTCATGTCGGGACCTGCCTAACTGAGGCCCATCAGTGCGTCATCCCGACCGTGCCTTTCTCCCTTTCCCAGTTCCGATCTCGGCACTGTTCTCTTACCGCTCCGCTGCCCTCACTGTCGCAGAGTAGCAGCAACAGCTGGACTGCATCGTTTTCTCAATTTCCGCCTCTTGGCGACGGCACACTCCCAGCTCTACGAGCACTCTCGCGGCGACCGCAAAAGCACAACACCCACGACGCGCACACCTACAACAGGCGATGCTATGCAGCGGGTCCACGGTCAGACACTGTGCGCCTTAATCGATGAGACACTCTCGCGGCCGCACATGATTCGACGCATACTTGTGGGTTTGCGGTAGCACCGGGCTCCGGAACCCGCCGCAACTTTCTCACCAACAAAGGTCCGAAGCAACGCCAACTGATGGAGTGACCTCAGGCGCCTCTTTGGTGTCACCGTCACCTCAATCCCACCGTCGTGGGACCTCGGAGGCAGCGACACGAAGGGCCCACCATCAGTCAGGCCACCGGGAGCTCCCGCCCAACCTCCCACTCCCCCCTTGGCTGCCCACTCCTATCATGTTCCGCCCTCTTCACTCTCACAGAGCCTACACCTTCACCACTCGTATGGGGGGGCGGGGTGGGCTGGTGGTCACGGGCTTGGATTGGGCGGAGACCCACCACCGACCCTCATCCTGGCAAAGACCAGGACGGCGCTGTCAGACGAACCGACCAAGCTAGCCGCAAGACTCCGCACTCCGAACGCCTCGCATGAATATTCGACCCAGCTTCAGCAGACGACTTACCCTATCGCTAGCTCTTGCCGCTCTCGCCACCAATTCCTTGATGATGGGGAGCAATCGGGGGGAGGGAACCGCCGCTGGCCGCCACGGCGTTGGGCCGCCGCATCGAGCTACTCAGCCTCAAGCTTTCACCTTACGTATTCGCATCTTTCTCCTCAGCTTCCATCGCATTTTGGCACTATGTGCCCAGCCTCAGTCTACCCAGTGGCTCTGCCGGCAGCGAGGGCGGAGTGGTCATCTTCCGACGGGGTGGGTTATCACCATGGATGAGGGGAGGAAGGTGCAACAGCGGATGGGCCACCGCCAGGAAGGCGCAAACCTCCTCCACGCCTGGTGGACCCCCACCAGTCAGCCACCAGATCCACGCTCAGGAACTCTTTGCCTGCCTCTGTGGGTGAGGGTCCCCGTCGCGGGACTGTGGGCTGGCTGGGGGGCTTCCGAAGGGCAGGAGGAGAGGCCTTTGCGCAGTCTCACTGGGCGAGAATGACCTAGGCCGCAGGACCGCTCAACCGCCACGCCGCTGCGTGCTCTCACCATCTTTTGCGCCGCACTCTGGCCTCACCTGAACCAGCCTCCGCTCTCCCCGACGTGTCCTAGCGCCGCACTCTGGCTCTACCAGCACCCTGCAACCTCCAGCCTACAGGCTGTACTGCCGCAATATTTCGCCCATCGCCGCTAACGCCAAATATCCCACTCCTCCTCTTCTTACTCTTGATTATGCGGTCCTCTTCATCCCTATCTCCTTCATCGCTCGTCACATCGCATGCCGTGTTTTCCGTTTACATCTGCAGATCTCCCACCAGCCGTCAGCCCCACGGGCTCTCACCCCTGGGGCCGGGCTCTCACCCCTTGGGCCGCCTGGCTCACTGGGTTGATCAAACCCCCCAGCAACGACCGCTGCTGGGGGGAGGGATGGCCGCGTCTGAACGATGCCAGGGCTGAGAGTTAGAAAGAGAAAGAGAGAGAGAGAGGAGGACGAGGACAAGGAGGAGGTGGAGGAGGTGGAGGAGGTGAGGCGGAGCCCTCGGACCCCGGCGAAACCCTAGCTGCTCCGCACATCGGCCCTCACCCCGTGCACTTTTTGCAGATGCGGAGCGAACCTTCCCCGCCCGCAGTTGAGACCACCCCGGCCCGAGCTAACAATCCAATCTGAAATGTGAAACGGCGAAGAACTGCCGCGGCGAGCGCCGAGCGGCGCCAACAGATCGGCGTTCACGAGACTGAAGTGGGACGATCACGGCTCCCTGGTAAGCAGCAGACGGCAAGGTCACAGCCGAGGAAACGACTCACCCTCGCTGCCCCGCACACTCGGAGCAGGGCGCATTGAGACAACGGTAGCTCACAATCGGTCGCAGGGCTCAAAAGCACCAAAACCCCAAGCTGAGCTGCGTCCAGCCGTGGCGACGAGGGGCCCTTCCGCAGGACAACTGCCCCTGTCTCAGCTCGCCATCCTCTGACGCACCGCCCCCTCCCCTCACCGTGCCCGCCGGGCCGCGCCGCGCCGCGCAGGCCCGGGCCGCGCCGCTCCGCGCCCCGCCGCGTCGAGCCCCGCCGCCGAGACCGCCGAGGCCAAGCCGCGCGCAGTGGCGGGCGGCTCCCGGGGGGCAGAGGCCGAAGGGCCACGACTGGGGCCGCCGCCCCACGCCGACCTGCCCGACGGCGCCAGCCACCGCCCGCTCGGGCCGCTCGGGCCGCGGCGGCGACGGCGACCGCGGCGGCGGCGTTCGCAGCGGCGGCGCGCGCCGCCCTCCCGAGGTGTCGGCGCCCGAGGGGCGGGGGGATCTGCACCGCCAGGAGGAGTCCGCGCCCACGGCTTCTGGAGGCGCTCCGGGGGTAGAAGCCTGAGATCCTGGCGTCGCATTTCTTTCACGCTGGGCGGTTTCGCCCCGTTTCGGGCCCTCGGGGCCCTCACGGACAGATCCAGCTCAAATTTGCAGCAGAAAGATGGGGTCCAGGTCGCCGGTGGCAGTTCCACCAGCCAAGTGGGGCGCAGGTGGTTTAGGGCGCTTCCTCTTCCAACCCCCTTCTTCCCCTGCTCGTCCACCCGACGGGCGACAAACCCGGGCCAATGCCGACCCCCCCCCCCACCACCACAACCATCCCTGGCAAAAAATCACGACGAAGTCCACATTGCACGAGAATCTGGACAATGCGCGGGCGCGCCGCGGTACCCTCGCACCGGTGTGTTGCAAGTGCGGCGGAGGGGCCAGCATACTGCCTGCCACAACTCTTTGCGACATACAGAATCGACCGTGCACTTTACACCAAAATCTGGATCATGCGCGGGCGCCCCAGGATCACGGTTCATTGGTTTTTGTCCAGGACGGCGGGGGGGGACTGGCATAGTGCCTGCTGCGCACAATTCCAGCCCCCCCCACTCACGCCATCCCTTGCACAACAGCGCTACAACATAAAACTTTCCACCAAAATCTGGATCAGGCGCGGGCGCCCCGCGATCACTATTTTTGTTTTGTCTCTCTCTCTCTTTTTCTCTTCCTCTCTCTCTCTCATTTACAAGTAGGGCGGGGGGGGGGGCGACATATTGCCTGCTGCGTGCTGGCCCGACAAGCCTAGAAACGGTAAGATACAGAGTGCACTTTGCCAGGGACGGCGGAGGGGGGCATCTTGCCAGCTGCGCAGTCCCACCATCCCTGTCGAAACACGACGAATGCCAAGTGAAACGCGTCGCGGCCACGCGCAAGGCGGCGCAAAGTGGAAAGTGGGGCGAAGAGACGCGGCCGGTCGGCCAAGATCACGCGGCATGGGGATACTGGATCCGCCCATAAGGGATCGACAGTGCCACTCGCGGGGAGGCTACGCGAGGGGAAGACAGGGAGAAATAGAAACGTACGTGGACCGGGCGTGGAGACGAGGAAGCAAAACCGCGCACAGTACGAGCGGATGGGGTGAGGCGCAGCAACGGCCGCAAAGGCGGGCGGCGGGGGGAAGAGACTACAGACAGACGAGGCCCCAGGATCCACACACACACACATAATCAACATTGCTGGCAACCCCGCCGTCGCTTTGCATGTGTTATTGGCAAGGATGGTGTGGGGGGTAGCCCTGCACCCCCATCAGACGCCCGCCAGGTGCGCCGCACGTGCCAGGTGCGCCACGCGCACCGGGTGCGCCACATTGAGCAGAGACCCCCAAGAGGCCCCCGAGCGGCCCCCGAGCGGCCCACAAGCGGCCCCCAAAAGTCCCCAAGAGGCACTCAGTTCAAATACGACCCAACAGGCTCTGAAAATCACCAATAAGCCCCCAAGAGGCCTCAAAGAGGCCCCGAAGGCGCCCTAAGAGGCATCCAAGAGACCTCACGAGACATCCCAAGAGACTCCGAGGGGCACCCAAAAGCCTCTGGCCCAAGAAGGCTCCCCGAGCTCTCCAGCTGATGCCACGCTCCCCCGATAAGGGCCGCTTTGGGAGGGACATCTGGAACCTCCCAGAACCTCCTAGAACCTCTGGGGGGCACTCCTGGCTGCCGCCCGGCGCTGCGTCCCTGGGGAGCGGTGGATCCAGATGGGCTTGCCTGCCCGCGGCGGGCGGGCGACGGTCCAGATCCACCACTCCTCAGGGCCCCTGCCAGGCACAGCTCCGCAGCGGTGGACGTGGAGACACCTCTTCTGAAGGCGGGCGACCGGCTGATGCCCGCGTCGAGGGCGAGGCGCGCCAGGGCCACGCCCCTGGGTCGAGGCGCGCCAGGGCGACCACGAGACCGGGCGGCAGCAGCATCGGTGCAACCATGGGCGCGCCAACCGCCGCACGGAACGCGTCACGCCCCCGGGTCGAGCCGCGCCACGGCGGCCAGGAACGCGGTCGGCAGCAGCAGCGACACGATCCCGGTCGTGGCCACCGCCGCACGGAAGCCGCAGGCGTCGATCATGAACCCGCCCAGCAGAGCTGAGGCCCCGAACGTGAGCGGCTTGATGGCCATGACGTGGAAGAACTTGCCCCGGTGCTCTGGCTTGACCCTCTCCAGCGTGATGGCATACACAGGTATGTCGGTCGCCTTGGTCGCGACCTGAAAGACCAAGAAGGCGGCCGCTGCAGCCCAAGGCTGCCTCACAGCCGCCAGGCCCAGCAGCGCCACGCAGGCAAGCAAATGTAGGCCCAGCGTGGCCGCGATGCTGCCGACGCGCCTGATCAGCGCAGGCATCACGCCCAGGCTCAGCGTCTGCAGCAGCGGGGACACGACGTAAAGGACGGCCACCGCCTCGGGCGTGAAGCCGAAGTCCCTCCTGAGCATGAGGGCGAGGTAGCGAACGGATGACGACGATGACGATGACGATGACGACGATGACGGTGACGCCGAAGCCCCTCCTGAACATGAGGGCGAGGTAGCGAACGGATATGCCAAAGCAAAGCACCAGGGCCAGCCGGAAGCCCTCCAGCAGGGCGGGCACCACCCACCACGGCCTCGGCGGCCGCCGCGGGCCGCTCTCGACCGAGGAGGCCTCGGAAGCTGTGGGCGTGAACGGCTCGCCCAGCCCCTCTGGGCTCTCGCGCAGGCCCTCGGCGGGCGGTCTGAGCGGCATGTCCCGGAACACGCACTGCGCGGGCGCGATGAGCGGGAACGCGGCCCAGCTGGCGAGGATCAGGCCGCGCAGCTGCGGCAGGCTCCACGGCTCCGCGCCCTCGGCACTCCCGCCCCGCCCGAGCCCTGCCGCCAGCAGCGCCAGCTGCGCCAGGGGGCCAAACGACGCCCCCAGGGTGCCGAACTGCGTCTTGCGTGCGGCCACTGGCGCGGCCGTCGCCGGCGTGGCGCAGTCGGCCATCACCATGTCCATCGTTCCGCAGTAGTTGGCCTTGTAAGCTGCGTACGCCACAGCAGCGGCCACCAGGCCTGGCTTAGAGTCCGAGAGAACTGCGGAGAAGAAGCATATGCATGCCAAGATGCCGAGGAAGACGCTGGCCCGCATTACCGACGACCTCGGATGCTTGTCAGACAAGTAGCCGAGGGGAAACGCCAGCCCTACCTGGGTCAAGGACATCACCGTCTCCACCACGCCCACGAAATACCTGGAAGTCTGGTCATGGGTCCCCAGAGGTCTCCGGAGGCAAGGCCTCCGGAGACCTCCAGAGGCCAAGAAAAGTTCAAACACGTTCCAAAACCTCTGGAGTACGCGCGGCCGCCTGTGAGCTCCGACAGGTAGATGTCGAGGAAGGCTCCGTAGCTGTTGCTGTCGATTAGCCGGTACCAGAACCAGACGTAGAAGATCAGGCGAAGGTTAAACCGCGCAGCCGCCTCTCGGTTGGACGCTGGCCATGTGCACCACGGGGTTGGGGCGAGGGGGTCCGCTTTCGAAGAAGGCGGGGGGATCGGAAACTTGAAAAGCGGTCTTTTAGAAGGCAGGAGGGCTTGCAAGTAAGAAGGACCCTGTCCTCTCAGAAAGCAACGTTTGGCATGGGGGATAATGGTCCTGAAGCAAGCGGGTCCTGGAGTGCCGGGGCATGTCCTGGGACTGGTTGTTCACAGTGGGCATTATGTTGGCGGTCCCCGGGCTTGCACGGTGGCGGGACTTGCCGCAGGCAGCTGGACAGAGGAGATGAGACGGAAAATGAGGCAGGAGGAGGAGGAGGAGGCAGGAGGAGGAAGAGGAAGAGGGAGGAGGGACAGGGCCGAAAACAAACACTTGGAGGAGGCGGAGGCGGAGCGAAGAAGGGCCTCCCAGGCACCCGCGGCCACCAGGCGGTCGCCTCGCCGCGGCGCGCCGTCCTCGACGGTGGCCCCGCCGAGGTCCATCGGCGCGCGACGGGCCTCACCGCGCGCGGGCACGGCGAGCCTCCGCGCGCCCCTGGGCGCGGGGCTCCCGACGGAGCCGGAAATACCTGCGGCGGTGGCGGCCGCGGCAGCGGCCACGGCGATCGGCGTGGGCGGCCGCCGCGGTCGGTGGCCGCATCGGCGTGGCGATCGGCGGCGATCGGCGGCTGGGGCGGCCTCGCTCCCCGCTTCTCGTATTTCCCCTCGTCCTCCTCCTCCCTGACGTCCTCGCACCGAGAAAAAATGCGACGGCAAATGTTAGTCCCAACCATCCTGTGGTGTGGGGTCCTCGTTTCGAAGAGACAGCTCCCCGCGTCTCTTTCCTCTCCTCTACTCTCCTCTCCTCCTTCCCCTTCTCCCGCTCCTCCCTCCTCCCCCTCCTCCCACCATCAACATCATCATCATCCTTCCCCTACTCCCTCCTCCAGTGCTATCATCGTCGTCTTCATCCTCATCCTCATCCTCATCCGCATCCTCTTTCTCCTCCTCCTCATCATCATGATCATCATCTCAGCCAGCGTTGACTCCAAATATATAGGAGGACAGGGACAGGACGAGAGGAGGATGGGAGGCGGACGAAAGGAGGATGGGAGCAGGACGGGAGGAGGACAGAAGAGAAACCATCAGGCAAGCGGAAGCAAACAAGCGGAAGCAAACAAGCGCAAGCGGGCACGCAAGCAAGAGCCAGCGATCAATTGCAAGCAAGCAAGCAAGCAAGCAAGGGCAAGCAAGAGCAAGCAAGCGAAAGCATTCACGCAAGAGCAAGCAAGCACGTGCTATTGGAAAAAAGAGGGGGGGGCATTGGAAAAAGGGGGGTGCTAGGAGCGCTCAGAGGTGGTGCATAGGCATAGGCATCATAGGCATAGGCATAGGCATAGGCACAGGCATAGGAGTTGGGGGAGAAAGAGCATGGGCATAGGCATAGCCAGAGGAATTAGAGGGACATAGGAATTAGGGGGCAGCCGACCAATTAGTAGGGTTTGGGCTAGAACTCATATAGGGCAGGCCTATTTGGAGAATGACCATCATCAGCATCAGCATCAGCATCAGCATCATCATCAGCAGCATAATAGTCATCACAATAATAATCATCATCATCATCATCATCATCATCATCATCATCATCATCATCATCATCATCATAAGCACCAGCATCAACAGCATCATCATCATCATCATCGTCGTCATCATCATCATCATCATCAGCATCATCATCATCATCATCATCATCATCATCATCATCATCATCATCATCATCATCATCGTCGTTATCATCATCATCACCATCTTCATCATGATCACCATTATCATCATTATCACCATCACCATCATCATCAACATCATCATCATCATCATCATCATCATCATCATCATCATCATCATCTTCATCAGCATCAGCATCAGCATCAACCTCAACATCATCAGCATCATCATCACCGTCGTCCGAGGGTGGCCCGATAAGGAGCGTCGTCCGAGGGTGGCCCGATAAGGAGCTCCGCCGGAGGCCCCAGTGGCAGGGTACGCATGGCGCCACCGCGCCCATTTCAGCACACCCCTCACACGCTTCGTGGCCCCGTAGGGAGCTCCGCAGAAGGCCAGCAAGGTTCGCATGGCGCCACCGCACCCATTTCGGCACACCCCTCACACGGTTCGTGGCCCCATAGGGAGCTCCGCCGAAGGCCCCAGTGGCAGGGTACGCATGGCGCCACCGCATCCATTTCAGCACACCCCTCACACGGATCGTGGCCCCATAGGGAGCTCCGCAGAAGGCCCCAATGACGGGGTTCGCATGGCGCCACCGCACCCATGTCGGTACACCTGTCACACGGTTCGCGGCCCCATAGGGAGCTCCGCAGAAGGCCTCACTGGCATGGTTCGCATGGCGCCACCGCACCCATTTCGGCACACCCCTCACACGGTTCGCGGTACTTGGAGCAGGCAGGTTTTGGGGGCGTTTGATTGTTCCCAACCATTATGTGGTGTTGGGTCCTCGTTTTAAATGACAGCGCCCCGCATCCCCTTCCTCTCCTCTCCTCTCCTCCTCCTCCCCCTCCTCCCTCCTCCCCTCCTTGCCTCTGCCCGCCACATGTTTCCATTTCGGCATACCCTGTACGACGTTTCGTTGCGCCACAGGGAGCTCCACCGACGGCCCCGTGGCGGGGATCGCATGGCGCAACCACGCCCATTTCGGCACACCCCTCACACGTTCCGTGGCCCCAGATGGGGCTCCACCGAAGGCCCCAGTGGCAGGGTTCGCATGGCGCCACCGCACCCATTTCGGCACACCTCCCACACGCTTCGTGACCCCTTAGGGAGCTCCACAGAAGGCCACATTGGCAGGGTTCGCAAGGCGTCACCGTTCGGCAGAGGCAGCTGAAGTCGGGACAGTCTCATGCTCGTTTGCGTCGCTTCTCGCAGGCCGCCCGCCGATGGCAGGCCTGCCGAGCTCCAGCGAGCGGGGCCGCAAGCGGCGGCAATCTACGGACACCGCGTGCATGGACAATTCGGCTCGGCGACGCTGGCCAATCGCCGCCGATTAGGGGCAGCAGCTGGTTCGTCGAAGCGTGGCAGATGTTTGACAACACTCTTATCACTCAGGAGGCCTGGATGTGATCCAGGCCATAAACTACCCAAGCAATGTATTTCACAATGGTTGGCAATCTGACTCTCAGAGGCCGGTGTGAGGAGATCTATCGAGCTGGCCTGGCCGAAAGCTGCGGCACATATGCGCTCCCTTCCTCTCGGGCAGCGCGTGCAACATGTCAGAGGCCCGATGGCCGCGGCGTTTCTGAATATATAAATATATATGTAATATATATATATATGTATGTATGCTCGAAGCTGCATGGTCGCCTAATACTCCTACTGATTGGCATGCGCCGAATGACGGCTCCTCTGAAGTTCACGCTTGGCATTTTGACAGCGAGGATTTCGAGGCGCTAGATCGGGCGGCCCCTCTTCTGGACGAGTTGCAGCGAACGTGCGAACTGAAACAACGGCTGGGTGCCTCTACTCTGTTCCGCGGTGGCGGTTTAGAGGGAGGCGCGGACACGAGCTCGCTGCGCGCGATGGTCGCGGACCTGCTGCACGCGCGCACGGGCAGGCAGTTGTCGGAGCTGCTGGTGACGGTGGCCACTGGGGGCATTTGGCCGAAAGCGCGCAGCCACGAAGCAGGTCTCCGAGCTGATGGTTTGTGTGACCGATGCGGTACCGAGCAGGATACCCCTCTCCACCGCTGCTGGACGTGTTCAAAAGATCAAGGGTCTCGTGCATTGTGTCTGACGACTTGCTCCCGCAAGCTGTTACCGAATCTGAGGCTTACCCGTGTTGTTGGATGATAGGTTTAATTTCTTCTGTCGGGACCTCCATTCAGCCCCCGCCCGCTGTTGAGCAGATTTGTGGGGCTGTCTCGGGAACGACGGTCTTGGGGCGGGGAGTCCTGGAGTAGGGACCTCAGCTGAGCCCCTGGTCGTCTTAGGGGACGCCTCGGGGGGTCGAGGCGCTCTCGACTCTCGGCTGAGGCGAGTAGGCATAGGTTTAGCGACGTTCTTACTACCTTTGCTCCTTTGTCTCTAGGGCCCTTCCCGATGAGACCCCTTGCAGGTGTTGTGCAGAGCGTGCCTCGAGGCGAACTCAGGGCCTTCGAATGGCCTTTGCGTTTTAGTGGAGGCGTTTTCTGGTACGTTACTGGTTGTGACAAGGTTGCTCGAGGCTGACACGCCGAACTTTTCCGCAGGCCTCAAGGGCCCCAGTCTGACATTTGGAGAGGGGTTGGCAAGACGCTGATTTCTCACGGTAGGTCCCCTGCGCGCACTAAAGTGGCTCAGGTCCCGTCTCAGTTGACTGGATCAGAAGTTCTCACCCGACTCACCCGTCGTATTCCCTCGTGGCTTGTGCTCGGGGGTAGCTGCGTGGATACCATAGCGGGCGAGGCCGCCGCGCGCGCGGGTCTCGCCTGACGATCGTCACAAGATCCACAAAGTCGAGCATCGGGACCGTCTTGTTCGGAGGAGGTTGCTGCGAATCGGCTTCGACTCCAGTCGAACGTCTCAGCTTTCTGGCGATCAGAGAGTGCGGGGTGCTGGTAATGTCCCTCCCCCTCCTCCACCTCCTCCTCCTATTGCTCTTGCACGCTTCGCGTCCGCACATACCCTGACCGAAAACGGGGGGGGGGGGCGTGCGGCGTGTGTAAAGGCTGTGCGACTAAGGCGGTGTTGGCCGAATGGTTAAAATAAAGTGAGTGCTTCCGTCTTCAACATGTGAACAGTGAGCTGTGTCGAAATCCTGTGGGTCGGCGTTTACACTGAGCTGGTGGTTGGACTCATCCCTCACACGCCTTGACCTCTGGTACAAGACCTTACAACTTGGTTGCGCCGCACATGCGGGTTCTACAGACAGGCTCAACTCAAGGACCTGGGATAACCGTGCAAGCTACCGATTTCGAAGGCCAGGCGCGAATCTCTTGACAGGATTGATCGCGGCCTGTTTCCGAAGTGCTGAGCATCTTAGCCTTCTTGTCACTACGTGATGGCGGAAATCCTGGAAATCCCCTCCCCTTCCCCTCTCTCCCCCCCAAAAAAGAACGGCTCACCTCTTCCTCGGGCCGCCCATCCCTTCGCCCCTCCCCCTCCTCCTCCTCGGTCTCGGCCTTCTGAAGGTTCGCGGGGGGAGGGGGCAGGGGGGAAGGGGGAAGAGCAGCAACAACAACACCAGCGGCGGCAGGCGGCAGGAGCAGAGGGTGGGAGGAGAAGGACCGGGAGCGACAAGACGAGAGGGATGCAGAAGAGGGAGAGGGGGAACAAACGGGTGAGGGAGGTACGAGGAAAGAGACGAGGGAGAAGCGAGGAAGAGGAGGACTGCAAGGTTATGCGCTTCACTCCTGGGTGGAAGACATCATTTGTTTGATCTGCGGCGAGCTGGATCCAGCTAGCAGTCGGCTAATAGAGAAGGGGAGGCAGGCCTACGATGCAGAGGATGGAATA